TACCAGGGCACAAGGGCAGGCCGAGGTGTCGGTGCCCGGCGGGCTTTTGTCGGGCCCCGGGTGCGGCAGCGGGGCAGGCTCGGCTCGGCTGCGCTCGGCTGGGCTCGGCTGGGCTCGGCTCGGCTGGGCTCGGCTCGGCTGGGCTCGGCTCGGCTCGGGTCGGCTCAGCTCGGCTCGGGTCGGCTCTGCCTGGCAGCCCGGCGGGCTCCCGCCGCGACCTTCTGAATGAGGGGGATTAAACACAGCGGCGAGGGAGATTTCAGGCGTCTCGCTGAAACACAAGAAAATCCTTTTATCCCCAGAGGGACAGAGGCTCGCAAAACTTCTTTTAAAGTGCACCCAGGAGGGAGCAGCCTTAAAACCAGCGGACAGGAGCACCAGAGCTCCCGCGTTTCACGAGGCGGCCGGCGTTTGCCTGTGCGGATCTGCTGCTGCTCGCTGCAGTCTTACTGCGATGAAAGACCCCGACGGGGTTTTGCCTCTCCTGCGGGCTGGGGGGGCTCTGCCGCCGGCCTCCCGCCACTTGGGTGGGAAGGAGACAAAGACGGGGCCGGGGCTACCTCTCTCCCTCGAGCACAGCTGCACGTTTGCTCTCCTCGTTGGGGGGGGCATCCCCCCCCAGGCAGTGGCAGGTTTGTGAAGATCCCACCAGCCCTTGCAGAGGGAACCGTGCCATGGCCTTTGTTTTTAAGACGGTGCCAGGTTCGGACTGGGCATCCCAGTGGTTTCTGGGCATTGTGTAGCATGGTGGTGCAAGCACCTGCCTGCCCGGCGAAGACCCCCGTCTGGGGCAGGGGACGCGCGGCGGGCGGTCCCCACACAGCTTTCCCAAGCACCACGGTGTGGTCTGGGCTGCAGGTTCTCCCACGCTCAAGTCAGGGGAGATTCCTTATGCAGCACGTCCCAGCCACAGAGACTCCAGTCACTTCCAAATTCAAGTTTTCATCGTGCTGTCATGACAGCATAGGCCAGCTTCTGGCTTTAGGTACTTCTGAATCTTGTTTTCTTTGGCTAGGGAAAAATAGTTTGCTGTGCACTTGATGTAACTCTTGGGTTTACCTGCTAGGGGACAGATAAGACAGTCTAGTGTCATGCGGCCTTCCGACAGCAGCAAGTGTAGGAAGAAATATGTTTGTTTTCCTCTTCTTTGCCTTCTGTTTGAGGATTAGGTGGCATTTGATGGATGTGCTCGGTTTTTGGGATGAAAACTTATGTGTCTTGGGGCTCAGTGCTGAGCACTGTGAGGAGGAAGACTGGATTGCTGTTGTTGGGGGTTTCTCTCTCTAAGCGTGTATGTGGATTATATTTAGTGTTGTAAGGTAGGTGTGGTAGTCATACTGAATTTATTAGCTTATTAAGCATTAGAGAAACAAGTACATATTGAAATTATTCTGGTCTCTTAAATTGTTAACGAAAGCAATTATACTTTGAGGGAGTTATGAATGTCTTTGCCTCACCACTGCAACACACCTTTGTTTGGCAAAAAAGAACTCCTTCATTTTGTGCATGCCTTTATTTCCTACACTGAGGCTCAAACTTCTTTCAGTTGTGGACTTTGTAAAGAAATGTCTCTAATGGTTGCTTTTGTGTTTCCTGATGCAGGCAGTGCAACCTGAGGAGCTCAGCTCACCCAGTCGATGTGAAAGCAAGACAAACCAAGGTGCGGCAGATGAAGGAGCAGCAGCGAAGTCAGCTGGTGGAGGCAGCAGCGTGGCTTTGAGCTACCCCAGCCTCCATGCCCATGCGTACAGCATCGAGAGCATGACAACGTTTCCGAATGGCTGTGGAAATGGCACCACCATTACTTGTATAGTTATGGATAATAAAGAGCCCCAAAACCAGACGACCTGTGTCAGTCATAATGGGGGATACAGGACCAGCAACAGTCATGAGGAGGAAAGTCAAGAGGATAAGCTTAGCCCTTCCAAAATCATGCGCTTTTTCACCGCTCCTCGGACACGGGCTAATTCCAGCTCTGACAGGCCTCGTTCTCTGGTTTTGATGGGCAGCTCATCCACGTGGAATGCTTTGTCTTCCATCAGAAAAATGGGATCTTTCAAGAAGTTGAAATCTTCAGTTCTCCAAGGAATTCAAACCAGGGAATGCTCGGACATCTTAAATGAGAACGGTGTAGGCAAACATGGTTCAAATGGGGCAGTGGTGAGAGTTCAGACGAACAGGTATTCCTATTCGGGGCCTCTACATGATTTCCAAAACACAGTGGATGGTTTAGCTTCTGACTGCTCTGATGCGGAGGAGAGCGATGAGTCTTTCCTGAGGAATACTCATCGCTCACGCAGCATCAGGCGGGCTTATGGTGCTGGGCGCATAAACTTGCTAGACACGGATAAAGTTCAGAGTCATCACAACTGTACTAGGCCAACATCACCTGTCATCGCAGAGCCAAAGATGTGTGAAATTTTGGTGAAAGACTCTGAAAACAACAGGATCATTTATCGGAGAAGCAAAAGTTCGGATAATTTGAACTTTCTGAAAAAAAGCTCATTCAAACGGAAGTCCACCTCAAACCTCACCGACCTCAAGGTTGCAAATGAAAAACAGATGCCAGCAAGGACTGTGAGTGTTACTTCTGCTGACTCGGACAAAACCAGTGGGAACCCCGAGAGGAGATCCAAGCGATGGAAGAGCCCTATCAGGGCAAAGGATTTTGACCGAGTTTTGAAACTTGTCAGTAATGTTACAGATGTTGCATGGAAGAAGGATGGCCCTAAAAGCGCCGCTCCTTCTCCCAGTGAGCAGTCCCAGAGAACAAGGTCAAACAGCAGACTGCACGATGACTACTCCCGCAGGGTTTCCAGCAGCACGGATCATGACAGAAAGAGATGCACTTCCCCGGTATCTAGTCCAGACTCTTCCTTTCCGGGAACACCTTGTCTGCAAAGCCCCACAGTTGCTCAGGATAAAGAGGCTGAAATGAATGTAGCTGTTGCTGAAGACAAAAGCCTCAGGACGTCGTCAGGTATCCCAGACTCTGATAGCTTATCACCCACGCTGAATGACATTAGTCCATTTCCCAACGAAGTGTTTTATTCGGACTCGGATGAACCAAAAGCTACCCAGCAGTTTACATGTGAAGCTGAAAACCCTCACGTTCCAGTCAGGCCGACTACTCCAAAGCCTCAAAGTCCCACTGCAGAGAAGGTCAAGTGCAATATGAATTTCCAGTGCCCAAACCATCACAGCACATTGTCACTGAGCTCATCGGAGAGCGAGGAGAGAGTCGAGGTACCAGGGCTGAAGCTGGGCAAGAATCCTGTTTGCTTCCAGGACTCGGTGCAAACTGTGTACTATGATGATGGAAATGAAGACAGTGGCATAAGCAGCCACTCTCAGCTGAGCCTCAATTTAGCCTCTGGAGCTGAAGAGAAAAAGGAAGAGGTAAGAAAGAAAGCAGAATCCTTTAGAAGCTGCATATATATGTACAGGTTTTGTCTTTATTAATGCAAAACAATGCAAACAATGCAAAATAACCTGAATACTAATGGCTGTTGCAGCTTGTTATTGCTAAAATATGCTGACAGCAATTATTTCCTTTAATATATTCTCTTTGGATGCTAACATCAAATTAGTTTTTCTTCGTGCATTAATATCAAAGAAAGTTTTGGCAGCAAAGCTATTCGTGTACGTTTTCAAGGGCAGCCTATTGCACCCTGCAGATACACCACCTTGTCATGTGGTCTTGTCAGATTTTACCAGCCGGAGCAGGGTCTGGCTGTGTTTGCTTCCAAGCTGAAAGGTCTCTAAAGAGTCTGTATATTTTAAAATAGGGTTGATTCAGTGTAAAACACTTTGCCTGTGGACGCCTTGCAGAATATGGTAGTACTTGTAGAGCAGTGTGGTGTGAAAGATAGAGTACAGAAGTTTAAGCATTCAGTTGTATCCGATGTCTTCACTGTGCAAGGATGGCCATCCTGAGGGTAAACCATTTGGGTATTTATTTGCCTGCAAATTTCAAACAGCAATACTTTACATGCTGGGCTGAGTGTGTTGCTACTAATGTTTTGGCGAAGACACCAGCGTTTCACTGCACCTAATGCATGATTTCATACTCCCGGTAGATGGCCAGATGTGCTGCAGCACCTCTGAGGTAAGTTCACATAATTACCCTGTGCCCTTACCTAAAGCAGTGTGTGAGTTGGCGCTGGAGCGGTTGCAATGATTTGGCAGTGCTGGTGAATAGCTGTCATACCTATCCTGCACCCGTTTGAGATGGCGTGGCTCTTCTCAGCCCCGGCAATGTACAGTAATGTGGTTTTGAGCTACCCAGGGTGAGGCAGCAGAGAAAGGTTTGCTACTCATTGGGAAAAATACACCAGGGCAAATATCCCTCTGGATCTGTATGATTATGGAAACCATTTACAAAATAAAGCTGACATATCTTTTAAGCCACCTCAGTTTGACTAGAAGTATCTTATACCTTAGGTATGAGATAGACAAAGGCAATTGTTACAGCTGCACAAACTTCAGCCTTTTATGCTGTAAAGTCTTATAATGTCTGTGAAGCTGTCTTACTTTTAAAAGCCTGGCATGGTTTTTGCAAACTAACTGTAAATGGTTACAGAGCTTATCAATGTTGTCCTTCTGCTGGAGAAAAGCAAGTTTGCATACTGTAGTGGTATGGTAAGATTGGAAGAATAAACCCAATGTGTATAAATGTTGGGGCTCTGAGGTTATTCCTCTTCTGGAGTCCCAGAGTTGCCACAGCCATCCATCTTTTCCAAAGCTCTCACTTAAGAGCATATATGCAAGGAGATGCTTTCACACTGCCAGAAAAGGCGAGACCCCTATTGTGGATGTCAGTTGTATTTCTCGGGAATGAAAGGGAAGTAGAATTAATGCTACTCATCTACCATCTAGTGGTGATCTGTGGTCATGACCCAAGAGAAATTCAGCTTGTCCCTCCCCTTGGCTCCCGACAAACCAGTACCATTTTTAAATGAATGTGTACATTGGGTGGATAAAAGTTCCTGCAGTTTTAGTTTTAACACCACATTCTGTTATTGTCTAGCATGCAATTTAAACTTTCTCTTTATATTATAACATATTTTAGGTTAATTGTGAGTGCCTTTTAGTGCTCACTTTGGTTGTCTAAAATACGGAGTGTGCACTGGTGGCAGGTTCTGGGTTTGTGTAGCGGGCAGGTGGCCGGTGTGGGATGGAGCCCTGCAGGAGATGAAGGAAATGGTGGCCAGGGGGTGGGCTCCTTGGCTGCTAGGGCAGCAGCAAGGGACCGCGGCCCCCTCCCTCTGCTGTGAGCGCTGCCCAGAGCCCTCTGTGTATGGCAAAACGACTGTGGCCAGCCAAATGGCGCAGCTGCGTCCAGACCTCTCTTCTGATCCAAAAAAGCAAAATTTTTGGAGGTGGTAGCTGTGGATTGGAAGCAGGAGTTGTGCAGGACAGTGTTTACTTCTGTCTCACTATGCAAGGGGTGTAAACTCTGTCCTCTCTTTTTTCCACGCCTGCTCCTCATCCCGTACACAACCCTAAAGCTGTGGCACTCGGAGTGACTACAAAACAGGGAGAGTGTTATGGTTTCTCCCTGCCATTTCTTTGGAGGGTTTCGTTGCTCATTTCCTCCTTTACAGCATGCTTCCCTCAGCGTGGACGTAGCTTGGTAACCTTATGCCAGGTTATTTTTTAATTGGAGTTTATTCAGTCCGCAGGCACTTTTATGAATGCCGCATACTCACACAATGAGGTCATTGGGGTTTGAACTTTTGACTTACAATTAATTTTGAACTATACCTTACACCTCCGTGTTACAGAACTGTACCCACCCAGCAAGTTGTTCCTGTGACGGTCAAGCGCTTGGCTAATTCTCAACAATCATTTGAGATGTAATGCTGAGCCATGCAAATCCTGAATTTGTAAGACTTTGTCTGAACCTTAAATATACTGTGTTGACGGACAAATCTGCACTGTTTCTGTGTTTCAAGTGTCGTCTTTTCTGTATGGATTTCATGTAAAAGATGGTATGTATTCCAGTACAGCCACTAAAATCTCTGTGGCTTGGAGACATATTTCAGTACAAAGCTTACAAGGTGCTAAGCGATCAGGCTCAAACGTGTTCTCCTTTCAGGACTGGCTGCTGTAGCTAGAAGCAAATCTAGATTATTCCCTTACCCACTCATCTAGTAGATTAGTTCGCAAATGAAGTCTGTGGAACTTGGTCCATCTCTATATTTTCCCAGATGTGGAAACTAAACGTTCCTACCTCGCGTTTCCCCGATGCTTTAAAGCTGATTTTGCAGTATTCACGCGAGGGTGTCTATCCTTTTACCTGAATTGATGTTTTTGGGGATTTTTTTCCTATGTGATTCAGTCTTGAGATCCTGTCACTTCTGTCACTTTGTTGGTTTCACCAAAATACAAGATTTGGACTGGCGCAGGGAGATGTTTGGCCTTCTCGGTTGTTGGTCCTGCCCGAGGTTGCTTCACAGGCAAGGGCTAATGAAGTGCAGCCTGGATCCATGCCGCAGCACTTCTTAAGCTACAGAGGGGTGAGTCACCAAAGCTTGTCTGTGACAGCCCATGCTTTTCCAGTCTCTGCTTTATGCCACTGTCACTTATATTCAATATATTGCTTTTAAATAGCATCAGGAGATGATTAAGTACAAGTTTGTATTTGGACTGTTTCGCATAGTCTTTACTTTCCTGAAGAAGAGCCCAATGTCACTGTAAATAACAAAAATTTAAACCCTTTGCTTTGGACTGGCACATGTCGGCCACTAAGGCCTAAACAAAACACTGTTCTGAATTTGTTACAAAAAAGACAAATCAAGTTATTTGACATTACACCTAGTCTTTCACAAGTTCTTAGAGCACCTGCTATTTAAGTTGCCTTGCTGGCATCTGGCTTCACAGCACACCAAACTTTTTATTACTTAAATACCCTATCTGCATGACTATAAGTGAAAGATAAATTATAGTAAAGAGGTAACTCTGCTGTAATGAGGGTTGAGTCACATTTTGTTTGCAGACTGTATTTTAAGTGCTCTGAGGCCTGTCTGTTGACTCATTTATGTTTGTGCCATGCGAAAGGCAGTGGTTCCAACGAATCCACGTCGTGCAGTCCCCCAGTGCTCAGCTGTCGGCAGAATTGAGCTGGTCTTTCCTGTACGGGTCTCTGAGCTCTAAATATTGAGCACAGATGGTTTAACTTGGGGGACAGCTTACAGAGGATAAGAGGAAGAAGAGCTGTATGGGTGGGAATACAGAGAGGATTCAGCTATGTCCTCGCTGTTCATCCTCCTGATTTCTTGCTTCAAAATGTGTCCTCGCAGTGAAGGACCAAAGGGTGGTGGCTGGATATGGTCATCTTCAATACCCACAAGGAGCATGCAGCAGCCAGGAGCTGAGGATGGGCATCCTTGGCACCTACTGCAACCTCCTGAGCGCTGTGGGACTGGGCATGAGCGCACCTGCTGGGAGTTAGCTGGTTTCAGCTGTCTGAACTCTTCTTCTTGGATTTATTCACCTGTGGTTCATCCACATGCAATTTGGAGTGTGGCTTAATCAGCTTAATCTGTATAACTGAAAACGTGCTAACCTGTGAAGGGTGATTAGATAAATTAAATAAAGGTGGGAACTTTTTAAACTTAAGGTTTACTCCTATGGGGCGTAATTTGGAGTGAGGACCCAGGCTCCAGTGGCACTCCGGTCTTGCTGGCCACAGGGCCTAGGGACAGAGCAGCAGAGCATTGTAACAGGCTCTTGGCAGCATCTCTGATGGCAAACTGAGGTTTCAATTAGACTGAGTGGCATTGGATTTACGCTAAACTCTCTGAGCTGCTCTGCACAAGTCAGGATATGTTCACACAATGTCTCCACCCTTCACAGCTGCTCAAAAAGCGACTTCCGAGAGCGCTTGCCCAGAGCTAAACCAGAAACCACTGTGCATTGCTACAAACCCAAACTGCAGAACCGATCACTCAAATGATGCAGAGGGGAGCCCTCAAAGGATACGTGTGTCTTCCTGTCACAGCAAAAACTCTTCCAACTCGATGCAGCAGAGCTGTCTGCCATTCAGTACAGCCTGTAATCATTTGTTGCTGTATCCTCTGCTAGGAAGAAGAAAAACAAGGCAGTGGTGACAGTAATCTGAATTCTGGATCAGGTTAAATTTTAGACTGAGTAACTGCAGTGCTGAATAAAATTGGCCATTCCTGAAAAATGGTAGAGTAATCCAGGGGTTATTTTCATGCCTGCAAAAGGGTCTGTGGATGCTGAAAGGGGGAGTTCAAATGAACTTCACTGCACTTAGGCTGGGGCAAGCTGCTCTCTTTCCATATGTGCTTGTCTGCCTTTCCAGAGTGTCGGATAATTGAGTCTGCTCTCCTCTGACACCTCAGTAATACCCAGGCACTGCTCACTCTGGG